TGATTAAACAAAATACATTTGCCGATATAATTAATCAATTAATCGCCTCAAATATTATATTTTTACGAGGATATAATTTTACTTACTGCTAAGGTGCTGAATTAACAAAAAGTTTACTAACCAGAAGTGAAACCAAAGTTTGTACCCCCGTAGAACATATAAATGTTAACGGAAGCACCTAAAGCAAGCATTTCTCTCAACATTTTTGTAACAGCTCTTGTTTTTACCCTTTGGAAGGATTCTCCCCAATGTGTTAGCCAACCCGAATAGAATTCAGAATTCACCAACGGCCCCTACGTAATTTTCAAACTTGAATTCAACATCTTAAGTTTAATAAAATAATATTAAGAAACAAAAATTAACTTTTTTTACCTTTAGGTTTTACAAGTCATTTCTGATATATTTTTTACTGTTAAGCACTCTGTCTCTTTGACTGCTAATCTGGGTGTAAAATGTCTCTGTCACATCAGAATTTTAAGAAATTTGCTATGAAAGTTTTGTTAAAAATTACAATTTTGGCATTTTTCGATAATTAATATCTCTGCAAACTGAAAATATCACAAACTTCCGCAAGAAAGAACGAAAAATATAAATCTGCCGATATAGAATAAAAATTAAACTAAACAAGGATAATTTTAAAGTTGTACTCAATCTTATTTAAATCAATCGTACCTAATAATGTATGAACCTATTGAGAAGCACATTTAATTCTAAAAGACAAATTTCCACAAAATATATGATACTATGATTTTTAGAATCACTTAACATGAACCTAAATTCAAATTCTAAAAATTCAAAAGAGCGGATTTAATATGGCTAACAAAATTTAAAAAATTTATAAAATTAAATTTGACAAATTTAATGGCTGTAAAATTATTCTTGTTTGACTTATTTTTTATCCTGTAGCGGTAGTTTCGATCTTTCATTTCAAACTTTGTGAAAGTTTGTAGCACATCTCGGTCTAAAATTATTAAGTATTAACAAATTTCAAAAATGTAATTTTCAACAACTTTTACAGTTTTCAAATTTCTCAAAATTCTGACGTGATAGAGACATTTTACACCCATATTCCTGCTTAGCAGTTAAACCAACAGTTTAAAAATGATTTGTTATACCTCAAGGTAATTTCGTGTTGTAATAAATAATTTGTTAATCAACAATATCACTTACTTTTGGCTGATAAAAGCGCATGGCTTGAAAACTGTCAGTCACGTTTACAAACGTTCCAAAATCAACGGTGGTATATACTCCAGGTATGTGTCCGCAGGGAATAAAAGACACGTTTCCACCGTCGGTTGTGTACAAAAGAGCTTTATCCCTAATTTTCCTAATAAAAACTTCTTTCAACATGTCCAAGTACTCAGTGTCACAAGCATTGTAAAATCCATATTCGTTTTCCACCTGTTGCGATTAAAATTGCGAATGAAATTAGGATAACAGTGATGAAATGATGGCTCGATGAAATTGATAATTGGCACATCAAAATAAAAATATTAAAATAAATTTCTACGTTAATTTTCTACGTAACTGTAAAACGATACTATCTCGAAAAACGCAATAAATATTTTGAAGAGATAATGTGTTGCGTAAGTTAAGTATTATTTCATCTCGTAACTAAATCTTACCTGAACCATAATTATCGGTCCTCCATTACCTCTTAAAAGTGTCTTTACTTTTTCCAGCACCTGATTTAGATACGATGATACATATCTCATGAAATCTGTGGAAATTATAGAAAAATTTCCAAAGAATAAAGTTGAGTTCTACAATTGGCTATGATAATAATAATAATGCCATTCTATCAATATATTTTAATAAATTTTACATTACCTATTACCATGTTCATTATTTTAACAATTAAACATGACAAAATAGAAAGAACTTAATTATTATGAAATGTATGAAGATTTTTATCTTTCTTATGAAAGTGGAATCTTTGCCAATTGACATTTAAGTTTTCAAGCAATTTTTGCGAAAATAAAATTGGAAACGTTTTTCAAAGTCTAAAGAATGTTTTTATATAATACACAATTCCAGTGAAACGAATTATATCTTACCTGTATCTTTTGTACGTAACTTTATATTCGGTACTTCGCGAAGCAACCAATACGGTAAACCACCCTAAAGGCAAATGTATTGAAATTATCAAGATTGTCAAA